AGAAGTCTTCGTATTATTTACTTTTTGGCTGACGGCCTTTACCCATGAAGTGCTCAAAACAGTGACTTTTTGAGGATGTAATATATATGAAGCATGCCCCATGATTGGAATTTAACTGTGCTATACCCAATCCATACAAAAGGGGACCCCACAGTCTGCGCCAATTACCGTGGCATAAGCCTCCTTAATATCGCCCATAAGGTCCTCTCGAGCGTTTTGTGTGAAAGACTGAAGCCCACCGTCAACAAACTGATTGAATCTTATCAGTGTGGCTTTAGACCTGGTAAGTCAACCATTGACCAGATATTCACCGCAGACGATGAAACGACGAGTTATACGGCGACATTGATATAGTTCAGCGTATCAAGAAGCAGCGGTTACGCTGGCTAGGTCATATGATCCGTATGGATACGAACACTCCAGCTTTGAAAGTTTTCGATGCAGTACCCGCCGGTGGAAGCAGATGAAGGGGGAAGGGGAAGACCTCCACTCTGTTGGAAAGACCAGGTAAAGAAGGACCAAACAGCAAAAAAGAATAAACGAATGGCGCACTGTTGGAAATCGGCTATAATCGCGTAGGCGATGTCTATGCCAGTAAAGTAAGTAAAGTAAGTAAGTAAGTAATGACGACTCAATAATGGGTTCTGGATTATCATTATTCCAAATGCGACAATTTTGGTTATTGACTTGTGAACTTCATAGCTGACCAAAAATTTCTTGTGAAAATCGCCATCGGTCATCATCTCGCTTTGCTTTGAGTTTATTTGATCCGAATGTGCGATGAGCTTGATGGCCGTTTGACTTCAAGTCTTCCACGAGTTGCAAAATCGTCCATAGAATGGGTGAGCACTGCTCCAATGGTTGCGCGCGATTCGGTTCTTGGATACCTGCAATAGAGTCTATGAGGTGAGTCGCGCGAAACAAACCCATATTTTGGTAATCAAATTGAACGATTTGCAAGAAAAGCTGACAAAACAACACCGAGTAGTAAGTCCCACGTCTAAAAAAGACAACCCTCACAGATGTGCATATATAAAACTCTAATAATAATACATCAATATTTCTCTTATATTTATAAAAGTGAACTTTCTATGAAAGAAAAACCTATTAAGATTTCAATACATGCATATAGATATATTTATGTATATATGTAAATATAAAAATCGTCTTCGCCATGAACTTGAACTTGACCACAACAAATAACTCGAACGGTGTCAATGAATGAGAGAGAGAGAGAGATAACCTCACCTATACATATGTAAGTATATTTAAATATTTATGTACATACATACATTAGTATATTTATAACGTAAATAACTACAATAAACCGTATACAAATAAAAATTAATACTTTAATCACATAAAAATTTATAGATTGACCATTTAAATTTAAGTATTGAAGCAAATGTACGTATGTATGTTTGTTTATATTATATACCATTTAGGTATGAAGGGGTTAAACATAGGTATTTATGTAATATAATGTAAATTTATGCATGACTAAATTTTCGTTTTTTTTTTAACGGCTGCGCATAAAATTGAAATTTAAAATGAAAATAATCCAAGGTTTGCCGGCGCTGAGTGAAGAGCGGGAGAGTAAGGAATGGAGTGCGTAAAGAAATGTTGAAATTGTTTAATTTGGTTTTGGGTTGAGTAAAAGAACAAACAGGTGGTTTTATGATAAAATCTAATTTTATACACACATTTACTTATATTTTCATATACATAAATACATATTTACATGGGTTGTATATACGAGTATGAAGACGAAATAAGAGCGCAGCAAAGGTAAATGAAATTGAAGAAGTCGATTAATTAAATAACTCAAAAAAAAAAAAAAATTATTACCACAAAAACAAATACGAGGAAATTCTCAGCTTAGCTCTCAGTGAACACAAAAGTCAAAAATATCCGAAAGTGGAATGGAAGATGTGAAGTAATAAAATACAAGCATAAGAAATTAAGCGTAAATTAACACAAAAAATAAAGTTTTTGATGGATTGTGGAATACAAACCAAAAAGAAAAAAAAAACAAAAAAAGGAAAAAATAAACATAAGAAGAAGAAGATGCAAGAACACAATAAGAAGAATTATGGAAATAAATTTAACTTTTAGTACAAAATATTCTGCTAAGTAAATAAAAGTTGCTTTCCGATCTGATATGGTAGAAGATTAAAATTACGGTCTATTTAATTTCACAACATTTGAAGAGTCACAACAAGTTGAAGACAAAGAAAAAAAAAATAATAATAATTTGTTAAAGAAATAACAAAATGTGTAAGCTTAAAAGACGAGCTTAGACGTGTTGCTCTGGTAGGTCCGTGTACAACACGAAACACACGATTTTTGGTGATTAATCAGATTCTGGAAATACCAAAACAACGAGAGAACACTTAGGAAATTTCGAAATTTTTCTGACCTACATACATAGATGAGAACTGGTTATATATATATTAGGTGTAGTAAAAAGTAATCCATTATTATTCCAATAGGTGACAATATTTATCTGTATCTCGCGTTCGGGTTCCGCTAGATGGCTTTAGAAAGACGACATTTCGTACTAAAAAAAAAAAACTTTTCTGACAGTTTTGTGTCTGGTTGATTCAGTTTTGTGTGAAGGTGCGTCCTAGATGGACGCTAGAATAGAGAAAACACGTAATGTTTGACAGTGAGAGCACAACGCAAGCCATAAATGAATAGTTTTTATGGTCCGCATACCGTTACAATGAATTATTCACAATTTCGGCTTCATTCCGGTAATTTTGATGTAAAACTTGCTTCGTGGAATGGAAGGCCAGTTGTCGGAAATGTCGTTAAAAATCATGAACATTGTCGAGTCCGACCGCCATGCGGGCACTGTTTGGTTTCCTTATTGCATTGCACACAAAATGGCTTGGAGCCACTTGGCAAAGGCTGTCATATGAGTTAACGAGGAAAAAACCCATGGAAGGAATTACTACGACAAGTTTCTGAAGCGAATAATGACTAATAATGAAAGGTCACTTGATTTAAGGACTGGCAACGTCAAAGGAAAACGGTCGTAATTGGCCGAAGGGCAGTGAGGCGGCAAAAACGATTGCCAAGCCCAAATTGACGGCCAAAAAAGTTTTATTATGTGTTTGCTGGTATTTTCCAGGAATCATCCACTATTAGCCGTTCCCCTACAGCCAAACTCTTAGCTCGGACCTGCACAGTCAGCAATTGTACCGTCTGAAGAAAGCAATCGTCCTGTTGTGGCCAACTGGGGGAGAAAAGTGTTTCATCAGGACAACGGTAGACCACATACATTGATATTGATTCGACAAAAAACTCCAAGAACTTGTTAGGGATGTTCTTATGCAACCAATTTAAAGTGCGAAACTCACATCAAGTGATTACCAACTGTTACTGTATAGGACAAATAATTTGGCTGGTGGAGAATTGGCCTCAAGAGAGATCTGTGGAAATCGAATGTCAAAATTTTTTGAAAATAGCGACTGAAAAGACCACGTCCAGCACGCACTGAAGAAAATATAGCGGCTTTAGCTGAGAGTGTATGTCTATTCGGCGCCGTTCACAGCAACTCGGGCTGACATATAGAACGGCTTGGCGCATTTTACATAGAGATTTTTAAATGAAGACGTACAAAATACGTCTTGTCGCTACGCTCTATGGGCTCTTGAGTAGTTCCAAGAAATCCTACCTTTTCGAGGCAAATTTTGTTCAGCGATGAGGCTCATTTCTAGCTTAATGGATATGTAATCAAGCATTTGAGACGCAGAGCAACCTGAAGAGATTCAAAAGCTGCCATTTCATCCAGAAAAAAAACGGTTTGATTTGGTTTGGAATAATCGGTCCATAATTTGATGCCTAAAATTGACGTTGTGATCTCAGCTACATTTGGTTTCAACAACGAGACGCCACTTCCCCACATCGTGTCAATCATTGGATTTATGGAGAGAACAACTTCGGCCAGCAGATAATTTCACGTTTTAGCCGTTCGATTGGCCACCAAGATCGTGTGAAATCACGCCGTTAGATTTTTTCGTGTGGGGATATGTCAAGTCTAAATTCTATGCGGACAATCACGCTTCGATTCAGGCCTTGGAGCAAAACAGCCATTCGTCAGTTACCAATCGAAATGCTCGAACGAGTCATCGAAAATTGAACTCAACGAATGGACCATCAGAGACATAGCAGCGGCCAACATTTGAAAGAGGAAGGCCAAAGAATGTTCTTTCGAATTATAATAAACATGCCCTATTTCAATTGAATTTTTTCTTTCAAAAAAAAGTAGGGAACATCGAAATGGATCACCCTTTAGTTTATTGCTTTAAAAAAAATTTTTTTTTAAGATATACTATAGGCTTTGGTCTCTAATAATCCCTATGTACAGACATTCCTACATAGTAACGACTTATTTATAATTATTTTGAACAGATTCAGGAAATTTTTCACGATTTTATGCATGTATGTACATCCATACGTAGAATATAAAAAAAAAATATTGAACAAAACAGCATAAACTTTCGAAAAAATTCACAATTTGAACACAACGCCGGCAGCGGACTCGAATATTGCGAAAATTAATAGGAAATACATGAAATAAATTATTATGAAAAATCTTGCATTCATATACATACATATAAACATGTATGTATGTATAATTCAAATGCTTATGCTTCACTATCGATTACACTTTGTTTGAGCTTCAAACATATTGTACATAAAAAATGCGAAAATAAGTTCAAGAAAAATATACAAACTGCGACGCGCCTGAGACGCCGAACAGCGCAGTCGGCGTCAGTCAAACACACCACCACCCGCTGGCGACCATAAATAGAAAAAAATCACAGCGGTTATTTAGAAATGAATAATTCAACTAAAAGTAAGGTATTTATGTACATTTGTAGACAAACATACATATCTATAAATATACATATGTAAATAAATAAATATACCAATAATTATATGCTCGCTATTTTTTATATATAAACCAATAATGACCATTGAAATCTTACCATATCTGCCAACAATAAACGAACATTCGTTGCGAAGAAATTCATTTTAGCGACGGCAAAGCAAGTGGCTGGCAGGCTACGGCAGCAGCAACAACACCAACACCATCACCTTTCAACTTAGCCGCAACGGAGGAGGTGATAATTGAAATATCCATATTTAAGCCAGCTAGAAAATGTATGCTTGCTGTACGTACATGCATACATACATACATACGTGTATGTACATATCTAAATCAGTGTGTATGTATGCAGATATCTATGTAGCTGAAGAATTGCGTGACTTAAGTTGATTTAAAGGTGTGTCAGATGGTTGAAAAATACACAAAATTTCTTTCTTCTTTTTCCAAGTTGACTTGAGTTGAGTTTGAGAATTGAAGCGTTATAGCTGGATTTTTTTTTTTTCTTTAAACGGCTACGGCTGATATTTGTTGTTTTTGGTCGTCGCTTAAGCTGTTTAATAGCGATTGCTTGCTTGATTGTTGGCTGTTAATTGCGATGCGGTGGTGATTCACCAATATGCTGATACAAACATACGTGTATATAGATATGTACATAAATACATATACATAATTGAAATTTAACACAAACACCAATGCAGCACAAATTCATACACGCGGATACAGCGACGTCAAAACTTTAACAATCACCAGTTGTTGTTGTTGTTGTTGTTGTTGTTGTTACTCTTGTTGTTATTGTTATGCTTTGATACACTGAAGTTGTATATTTTTATACTTTCATGTGACGGTGATTCAATTCCACCACTTTTCTCTTTCTTTTTTTTTTTTAATTTATTATAATTGTAATGCTGTTGTTGTTGTTTTGGTTAATATATTGAAAACGTCATGCCGCTCGCAGATTATCTTTTTTATATTGTTGTATATACTTAAAGTATTCACTTTAAGCACTGCTTCTTCGCGCCGCTTCACAAACACACACAGACACACTATTCACTAACACATACATATGTAAGTATGTAGACACACATTAACACTAGCACACAGGGGCAGTAACAACGATTTATGAACATGTTTTCGCCGGAAAATCTATCTCGTTGTTGTCTCGTAAATTTGCATAATTAATATTAGAAAAAAAAAATTCTCAAAACTATGTATTTGCGTACACAAATGCACTTTTGCGAATGTTTATATGTATATATGTGTATGTGTAAAACTTAAATCAACTATAAGACTTTTGAAATAATTAATTTTTTTAAGCTGTTGAAAAAAATTCAATTATTTTTATTACCACTTTATAATATTTTTTACTTTCTTCAGATGAAAATTCCAATATTTTTTTTGCAGAATTTTCAAAAATTTACGTTTTTTTTTAATTCTTTTTAATTCATCAAAATATCACTGCACACACCGAGTTAGCCGAGTATTTGAGGTTCACCAAGTCAACAACGTCAACTGATCAGCGCACGCCAACTGAAGTGAACTCGACGTCAGACGAGCCGAGAGCAGACAAAGGCCAGCAAAAAGTGAGCTAGAAGAGAAATAACGGGAGAGAGAGGAAAAGAGATCAGAAAACACTCAGATGTTTATGTATATTATATTATATGTATACAGAATTATACATATTCATATGCATTTATATATGTACGTATGTAGGTACACTGTGATTTGTATAGATTATTATAAATTATTTATTATCAAACAAAAGCAAAGTCAAAAATGAAGCAAAAACAGAAAAAATAAAACAAAAATAAGACAAAAATTTAGAAAAAAAAAAATAAATTTAAAGTAAATAAAAATAAAACAGGAACCAAAAAAGAAATTATAATTAAAAGTATAAAACTTAAAAAAATAAAATTTAAAGGAAATATAAAACAAAACAAAAAACGAAAAAAAAAAATAAAAAACAAAAACGAAAACAAAAACCAAAAAATATTAAACCAAAAAATGATATTAAAAAATTATTAAAAAAAAATAAACAAATAAATGAATAAAATTTAAAGGAAATAAAAATTAAAATTAAAAAAAAAAAAAAATACAACCAAAAAAAATTTTTAAGCAATTTATTTTTAAAAAAGAAAAAAAATTAAAAATTAAAAAAACAAACCAATATAAATTATAAAGTAAAAAGAAATACCAAAAATTTGCATATGCATGTATGTATATGAAGAACATTTATTTATTGATCATAACAACAACAACAACAACAATAGCAGCAATAATGACTGCCATAAAAACTGAATGGTAAAACAACAATAAAAACTACATTGAATTGTAGTCATGTACATACATACTATGTGTATATGCATGTATGCCTGTTTGTATGTTTTACTTCGGGCAAACGTATCGAACCGTTTTACTGTTGGCCACATTGTGTGCGCAACAACAACAACAGCAGCAGCAACAACAACAAGAACAACGCGTTGGCTAAACAAAAAAACACACAAAGCTTTGAAGTTATTTATTTAATATCTGGTATTTGTTTAATAGCGTTATGCTTTGTTGTTATTGTTTCTGAGTGTCAATGCGAATTCTCTACAGAAAGCGTCTTCTTCTCATTCTTCTTCTTTCAATACAATTTTTTACTTTTATTATTGGTTATTCTTAAGTAAGATTAAAGAGTCTCAGCCCCTCAGCAATGGGAAGTAATGCGGAAATGAGTTCGATGATATGTATGTATGTATTTCGTTGGATATGTATTAGTCAAACTGTACGATACATGCATGTGGTCAGACCAAAGGCTCGAAATTAAAGAGCACTAAACTGTCCCAATGGTCGGGGTACCGAGTGGTTACCATTGCGTACTGAAATTCGGGGGAGGCTCGGGTGCCACCAACATCAAAAAGTTATGAAAAATTAATTTAAATAAAATAAGGAAATTAAATTTTCAAATTTCGGCAGGGAATGTCCACCCCTCCGAGTGTATTTCGGACATGGAATAAAGGCTCCTGGAAAAAAAACCATCAGCCGTTCGGAGGCGGCTTAGTACAAACTGTAGGTTCCTCTATTTGTTGAAAAAAAAACACGACGTAAATCCACAAACTGGAAGAGGAGTTCGGCCGAAAGATCGCTTCAGTGGTTACAATGCGCCAGTTATAAATAAATAAATATATATATACATAGGAAAGCCGAATGGTTTTGAAAGGCGATTTTTTACCTCAGAACTGCTTCATGAAGAGATTTTTACACCGGATCTAGATGGATATATTATGATATATACCTATATATATATATATAGATATATATATATATTGAAGCTTTTCCAACAAAAGGAAGGACCTACAGTTTATACCAAGCCGCCTTCAAATGGCTGATGTCTTTTTTACGAGAAGCCTTTATTTCATATCCGAAATACACTCGGAGGTGTAGACATACCTTGCCGAGGGGCGACGGCAATTAGAAAATTTAGCTTAATTTTTTATGATATTCAAATTAATTTTCTACATCTTCTTGAATGCTAGCATGACACCAGAATTTGAACTCGAGCCTTCCGAATGGCAGTACGCAATGCTAACCACTCGGCTGCCGCGGCCGCCATGTACATTATGTTAGGCACAAGTAAAAAAATACTATGCCAAGCCTGGAGAATTCGTTCCTTTATCGTCTACATGGACGCCAAAGAAAGACATGCACAGTTCAATGGTTATGCTCTGGAATCAGAGCAAGACGCTATACTATGAGCTGCTCAAGCAAGGCTCGATTGCTGATTTTCTTAAATTTTTTTAAATTAATTTTTTGAACACAGAAAAACGGACCATATAAATTTGTGCTCCCCATAATTAAATTTGCAAATCATTAAAATAGATAATATAAATAAATAACCTTCGTGTACGCTCATCAAAAATGTTACGCTTTCAGTGACAGTATTTCGTAATATACAATTATGTATAAAAAAATTGATAATATTTAATAAATGCTTACTCAATTATAAGTATTACGAAACCGTTAGAGAGTGTGTTTCTAGATAATATGCAATAAATGCTAAAATAAGACAATAAAATTCATTAAATAAACAATTTAACATGTAATGAGTGGCATTAATTCTCTAAACATATATACATACAAACATATATAAATGCATATTATTGGTAAATATAAACATTTTATTTGATTTTTTTTTGTTGGAATTGAGTTAAAAGTATACTATGACACAATTGATTTGGCATTAAAAATGAAAACGTTGCTGCGATTTGCGATAAAAGATAAGTAAATGATATATAAATTATTTTATAGACGCAAATGTGCTTATTTGTATATTTGTATGGACTTGTATATACGAGGGGATCGGCAAAAGTTCCGCAAGTTGACCAGAAAAAACAAAAAAAAAAAATATTTTCGTATTTATTCGTAATCCTTGTTCTTTTTTGTCTTCTCTAGATAATCGCCAATGATTTGAATGCATTTCTTAAGCATATAGATCCTCTTCTGAAAACAGTCTTCAAAATCTTGCATTGTAAGCTTATCAAGTTGAGCATCAAGCTCTTTAATTATCTTCTCGTTGCCATTAAAGAAATTTCCCTTCATTTTTTTCATTTTAATTTTTGTAAATAACCGGAAATCACAAGGTCCTATATCCGGAGAATATGGTGCTGGTTGTATTCCTTCGATTCCAGAGATCGCAATAAAATTACTCATTATTTCAGCAGTGTGTGGTAGCGCGTTGTCATGATGTATAAAGTAGCGCCGCAAATCCTCTTTTTTTCCAACAAATTTTTGAAGACTTTTGGTAAACACTCGTCGGAATACCATTTTGCAGTTACCGCCTGCCGCTTTTCCAGTGGAATAGCAGATGCGATTTTAGATCAGATGAAGTAAACTGATATCATTATTTTTGCTGTTGATTTTTGTTGCTCAGATTTTACGGGTGGGTTTGCTCCTGTGGATTCCATACCATGGACTGTTGTTTGATTTCTGGATCCTGCTTATAGAACCAAGACTCGTCACCAGTAACGACTTTACTAAAGTTGCTAGTCTGACCATTTTCGAATTTGTTTAGGAAAAATTAAGCAAAATCCACTAGAGCCTCTTTTTGGGCCTCATTTAAAATGCGTTGTACCCATCGAGCAGATTTCATCGTGTATCCCAGATGACTACTTCATATTACTTAATATTCGCGATGCAGCCATTCAATGACATTCAATCCCAATTAATCAGCAATCATTTCTTGTGTCAATCGTGGGTCTTCGTCGATTTTGGACTTCAACAGATCTACAGTGGAAGATTTTAGTCGACTTTCTCACGACTCGTCCTCTACGGAAATATAGTCTTTAAAGACGCTGCAATCGTTCCATATGCAATGTTGTCCTCATTGAATATTTGTATTGGCTGTAAATTACGACGAAACCCGAAGAGAATCAGATGGCAAATTTCCGTTTGCGCGTTGGTGGTGGAATTTCGTTTGACCTATACTCAGCTTTCTTGCCTTTTTTGGTCTCTAATTTAGCCGATTGTTCTAAAATTTGAAAGGAAGACTAATAAAGTAAAAAAAAAGTAATAAAGGGTTTGGTATTTTTAGATCTAACAAAATTCAAATCGACAATCACCAACTGACCGAACTTTTGTTAATCCCCTCGTATATATGTACGGTTGCATTGTTTTTCTTTTGTTATTGTTTTCCTTTTGTTATTGTTTTCCTATTGATGATTTTTGCTGATTTCATTCGGGGCGTTTCTAACGATTTAGTGTATGCATATATAGTATAAAAATGTATATACATATGTATGTACATACACATGCACATATTTCGCCCCAAGCGCCTTGTGCTACGCAAGATAATCACTAATTGATGATGAGTTTCGCACAACAGCTGCGCTTTAGTTTTTGACTTGAAAAAATATTTTCGCTAATGGAGAATCAGCGTAGAAACATTTTAATACAAATTTTATTTCTTATGACAACAATTTAAGAATTCAAATTCATAGTTGATAAATAATAATGCCGAGCTTTTAAAAATTAATTTAAATTTTTTTGGCCCGCAATTTCCTCCGCATGGAATCTTCAGATGATTCCAATAAAATTTATTAAATTTATTACATTATTATCATTATTATTATCTATAAACTATCATCTATTTTATGTATATATGTATATGTTATATATATTAAAAATCAACCCATCGAAACGATCCCAGGTCTGTTTCCCAGAAGAAAAACTGTTCCCACTGGTAAGTTGTGCTCAAAACCACTACTGTACCAAATTTTATCGAAGTTAAACGATTTAAAAATGAGCTCGATTTTTTCGAAAAGATCGGTC